GCATCGTCTAGTGGAGGACTAGTACCGATCGGAACCTCGCTCATCTTAAAGTTGTGTGGTCTCTATCTCAGATTTTGCAGCCTGCCATGGTTAGATTCATGTTTGGTATATGCTTGTGACTACTTGTGAATGCATAATCGTGCCTCAAAACTATGTGCGCACATTACGGTGATCAGGATTAGGTGATGGTAGCTTGTACGTAGTGAAACAAATTTCCCATTTCGCCTGATGTGGTTCTCTGCTGAAATACAAACCCAATATCCTTGCCGATGATGAGAATCTTAGAAACGACACTAGAATTTATAACATGCAGGAAAGACCCAAAAGAAAACGAACCAGAAGCACGTGATGTCTGTTCTGTCAGCGTGTAAAGTACTCTGCACCTGGACTTCGAAGATCCGGGTCTCGATGCCATCTCCTTGACCCAGGGACAAAAATCTCTTGCAGCCTTGCCGCCTGGGACAGGTGGGGGAGGGGGAGGAATTAGCGGACGCTAGGGCCATGAATGCTCGTAAGTCCCGCTTCGAGACAACGTCATGTCAACGGACGAGACGGCTACATGTTCCTCTACCATGCGTGAGTTCCCGTAATTGCATGTGCACAAATTAGAAGCCCAGCCCCGCCGATACTTCTCGACGTTCGTTTGGATTTACAAGTTGCTTTTTCAAGAGATCGAAAATTGTCAGACCTCTGATGGGACGATCTTACTTCTCTCCAGTTCTGGAGATCTTCTCGCAAACGTCGTGAAATGAAACTGAATGTCTCGAGCTCTACTGGACTACCGAGAAATGATGCTGACATGATTAAAATCCAAGACTCAGAAATCAGCTCGTGCAATGATCGAAGACATGACAGCTTACAACGGTGAATCTGCATAGCCTGTGCGAAGATACAAGAGCCCTCTAGAGACAAATAATTATATATTATACATCCATACTTTATATAATCAGAGAGATGCCAACATTTGTCTGTCTATATGCAGTGTATATATATCTATATCTATCTGTTAAGATCTCAAGTATTAAATATTTCTATGATGTTGCTACAGCACCATATTTACAGATTCTGAGTTGGCTCAGTAGACATTTATAGGCAGACTTCGATAACTCCGAATCGTCTGCAACCCCACTCCAGCAGCGATCATCGTATTGGCCTTGAATCAAAGCTATGGTAATCAATTCTGAAAGTGCTCGTCATATTAGGCATCACTGGGCCGGAACCAAATGTAATAGCTCATTGCTTTTCAGTTCTAAAAGAAATTGTGAAAGCGAGGTCTATATATCTTTAAGTCTTCCTCAATTGTAAAGTAAAGGTGCTGGAATAATTATGACATCGATAACTAGCATGTGGTAGCGAGGCTTTCATGCGTTTTTATAATCATTCAATGGGATCATGGATATGATTGTGAATTCAGCGTTAAGAAAATGATATGTGTTTAGGCCATTGTGCATTAAAATTAATTTAATCATAATCTAATCCATTCTTTACTATAAACATGAGCATTCTTAAAGTATATGAGCATATATTCGGGGTATAGAGTATAACCCTCCAGTCTCATCATTTGTGATTTCATTTGATTGAGATCATAGTGACATTAAACTACCATGAGTAAAATTATTGCTTAACGCCTCTAGTTCGGACTTCAAGCTAGATGTAAAGTCATCGGGAAAGTAAAACTTTGAGTTAATATATCGTTAATTTGGTCACATGCGACTTAAAAAAGTTGAAGCTAAGAGTACATATGATGAAGGTATTTGAGGTTTTGAACGCTTTATTAAAAATAAATGTCATTTGCGCAGTCAAATATACACTTGAATCTTTGTCACCAAGAGTAACGAGTTGTACTTACAAGTAGGTAGCTTGAGAGATTTCTGAATCTATTGCAATTGATTGAAATCAACAAGTGAAATTGACTATATATAGTTCGTTTGATACTATTTTGAATAGATTATGCTTAATTAAAATTTGTGTAAACCATGAGAATTATAAGCTTTCATTACCGTTATTGAAGGTTTTATGAAATTCCTTTTAAAGTATTTTATCTTTAATTTTTTTGCTACTGTCTTAGCTTGATAATATGAGATATTTCCTTGAAATTGAAATTATAGGTAAAAGAATTATGATGATTTTAATGCACATGACTAACACCTTTACTGGTGACATTTTGTCAAAATAAAGAATCATTTTAAGTTATATGGTAATACATACTAATATTTTTAAGACTTTGAAAACTATATTAATCTATTTTTTGGAAATTTTGGAAATTTTTATGGCCAAATTTCTGAGTTTCACCAGAATTCTTATAATCACACTTCTATGGACTGGATATAATTTAAATAATTGAATGAATGAAAAAATATACTTGTATTTGGAAATAATTACATTACAAAACAAATTTTGTTCAGTACCAAAGTTCATATCATGAAATTGAATGGGAATCGAATACATGAAGCTTAAAAAATCATATAATTCAATTATTATTCGGAGCATCTGTTGCATCTTATATATCTTATACATATAAGTTCTATTAATTAAATCACAATTAGTTTACGTTTCAGAAATTTACCTATTTTTAAATTATAATTTAAAAAAATTACTCCGTCATACACATCTCCATCTCTTTAATGAACGCAAATTTTTTCTATAGAATCATACTACCATTTGCACAAATCTTGATAATGATTTAATGATGAATTTTATGTTCATGAACTAAATTGTGTTAACTAAGATTGCTTGAAATAATATTATTATTTATCTATATATAATACACGGTTGATATGATTGTAACCAATCTTTCTTAAACTGACATTTTGTCAGTTACTTTCCATACCAACATTACGTAAAGTTATTTTAATTTACTTTAGCATGTCCATATATCAGAAATAACGAGAAACCGAAGAAAATGAACTTTGACACTCTAGTTTCGAGAATGAAGAGAATGTTGACACAACGCGCATTTTGCATCTATTAAGCTAGATGTATGAGTTTTAACAGTTCAATTCAGCGATCAAATTCTACTGAATTATGATATGAATAAATACACACCAACATACAATATAAACAGAGATTTCTTGGGGCACCTAGATTCTCATCTTCATTGTAAATTACACACAGATACACCATAAATTAAGCGACCCATACTCTAAATCATTTTAGTGCAAAATGATATACATAACTTTGATAAAATTTGAAGGCATACACTAGAGGGAAGATGCATGAAATAAAATAAGAGGAAAGAGCACTTGCAGTAAGATACCCAAAAATATTTATTTGTTGATTTATTTTTGATTCCATGGCTTCAAAACGATAGCAGAGAGCTAACCTCTCTGGTGATAAATACATGTGACTCCAACCAAATGTTTGTAACTATCACCCTTGATGTAAATAAGGGTGATACCAGAAGGTCTTTAATAAGTATCACCAGTTAAAGCTATCATTCTCTCTTAACAAACTCTTTAAATTCATAATGTACTTGATTGTGAATCTAATGCGAGAAGTTGAAGCAAAGGTTCTCTCCAGTATGTGGTATACCTATTTTCGTCATAGATCATGAGCGACCTCCAGATGAACTGAACCACTCCACGTTCTCCAGATTCCTGGCTTCTATTTGGACACAGCCTGTGTGTGCCGACCACAGAGCACAAACGACATTCATGGAAGGTTCTGGTGCACGCGAACTCCACGTCTCGGAATACAGCTAACTGATGACCGATGACGATGCCTCTCATCCTTCGACGCCGGGCCTCGTTCAGGTTGCAGACTTCTCCACCAGAATAAGGATCTCAGTTTTTGGCCGACCGACCAGAACCATGAAGGTGTTCGGACATGAATGTGTATTTCACTCACCACTCTCGACTGGCAGTAGTCTCTTCTGCTGGTGACGTTGGTACACTTCATCAATGGATGAGTCAGTGGTTAACTCGGTGCACATGCTAAAGCATGTGTTTCTGAGGTCCCCGTGAGACAACTACAAAGAAAGAACATGGTTGCAGGCCATAAATGAATTTGCAATGCGTCTATAAATGTCGTGAAGTCTTTCAACCAAACTCTCTTACAATACACATGAGGGCCAACAAATGTATAGCTGCTTCCGAGTGGACGCCAATTTCTCGTCACAGGGATGAGGGAGACTCCACCGACTGCACTCTATCACGTTGCCACCAGGTGAGTCTATTACTGGAGTCAACTAAGTTCAATACATTTAACCCCACCGGTGAAATCACCTCAACACATTGGCATCTGAAACGCCGTTTTACAAAACACATTCTGAGTTTATGGCCGCTGGAGATAATAACTTTGTATTAAAGTCCTTTCGAGGTTTGCAGTTCACACGCAATTCTAAAGATAACTTTTCCCTCATGTGTTTCACCTTAGATGCAAAACGGAGACCCTTCACAGACATGGGCCTGCATGATTTGAGAAGAAAGGAGAGTCTGGTCACATATGCTCTCGAAAGAGTCTGCTTAAGAGGGGTCTCCCTCTTAACACGTACAGTGACTTAACCAGTGAGCGTTGTGTAACAGTTTCCCATTCCAGATATGACTCACATCCGACTTTTGACTGCAACCATGTTCAACTGCCAGACGAAACTTCATTCTATCATATATATCGGACTCCACACGAATCTTAAAAAACCATACGCGAAAAACATCAGCGTCCAAAGGAGCATGCAAAAACGTATCCAGTGTAGAAAGCCATATTACACGAAAAGACCTACCACGGACCGCTGGATGGAGAGAGACATAACCGACACTGTCTCATGACTCTGCCGGACTTCTGAAATTAGGTCAGGGTCGTGCCCATAGCATCTCCCAATGGAGGCGAGATCTGTGCTTCAAAAACTATCGTGAGTCAATTCCGATTCAGAGCAAAAAAAATCTAACACCCATTCTCTAAGCATACAAACCACCACATGTCAAATGAGGGTCAAGTCCACTTTAACTGCAGGACAATCACACCAAACAAGATCTAAGCGTGATCCACAAAATCACCCGGAATGTGAATCTAAACATTTGAAAGCATTAAGTATGACTTTTGAAGCCAAGTGTATCTTCCAAACATCAATTTAACAGTAAAAGTACCCGAGAAACTGTAAGTATACAAAGCTTCATGATTAGACTGCCGTGCGAGGCTCCATTGGACAAGCAGCAGGGTGTCAAATCTATAATCTGCACAGGAACTACCCGACCGGGATCCAACTGTAATTTCAAGCGTCCTGTACAAAGGCCGCTGTACACGGGACAAATTTTCCACTGATACATCTAAGTACTGCACAGTTATCCTACTCCTACATCTCTGAGCACTACATTGGAGACTGCTTATAAAAAGTGTCAGTCCCTGCTCGTGAGGAGTTTTATACGTAGTGCAACCGTCCGTGCTCAGTTCGAGAGAGCACGGCTGAAATTCTGAGGCCTCGGAGCTGACTAAAGCAGCTTGTCGAGCCGCAAACTCGAAATGGCAATTGGCAACACAGCTTCAAGATACGAACGAAATGACCAATAGCTCATGACCGATATATGACAATCATTTGAAAAATCTCTCTAAGTTGTCAAGGAGAAGGAAAGTAGGAAAAATATGATGAAATCAGTTATCCTTGATTGGTTTGGCTTCATAACCACCGTCAGCCCGCTTCTCCAACGCGAAAGGCATATGTGTCCCCAACACTTTGTCCCAAATGTTAAAAAACGGCTGAGAAAAGTTGTACTTCGTTCCGTGCAGCTGATGGTGGACATCATGGTAGGCAGTGTTGTTCTGAAATAAGAGATGAAATGGGTTGCCAGGCAACCACAAACCGCAATGGTCATCCACAGTTTTCATTGTCGCAAAAGTGAAGAAATAAATTGATGTCCGTGGCGTCATTCCTGACAACAGGAAAGAGAAGGCACCACCGACAGTGTCCAGCAAAAGGCCCTCCAGAGGGTGATTGAACAATGCCCCGAAAGCATAGGGAACAACCAGTCGATGATGTTGGGAATGAATGTGTCGATACAGAAACTTGTTGATGTGCATATACCGGTGCACAAAGTACTGCCACGTATCCATCACCAACATCGCCACTATCACTTGACCGATTTGCACCAGCAAAGGCTGCTGGACAACTTGCACATCTGGTTGCGACGTTAGCTGCAAAACCAACAAACATTGCCTCGTCATTATCTCGACGAATATCCAGCACGTACGAGCTGACACTTACAATAATCAGTCTAAATGTCCTGAAATCCAACGAGGCTACTCAAAACACGCTTCCACCGAAACACCAAACCCCACTTTCATCCACATACGGAAATCCAATCCAGCAGGAGTCGACGTGAGGACCGTCAACGTATGGGGTAACCCTGCGCATGATCGGGCCTTCAAGAGACTCGAACCCATGTTCGCCCTCCAGGAGACTGACCACTTAGGAGCGACAAACACGATCATCAGTGTTTACGAGTGGCCCCAGCTCACGCAAACCCACAAAGTATAGGTTCCTCTGTGAAACTTCATAGTTACTTCAAATTCCTTGATGAACAAAAACACTGGAGGGAACGTAAGGCCAAGAAACAAACGAGAGGGCTGAAACAATGCACACGACCAGGGCACAGCCTTCTTCCCACCCAATAAGGGTCTTCAGTAAATGTTGATATGAGCCTTCTGTTACATCTAAGCAACAGGAATTGAGGAGCCATGACGGTTTAAGAGGCCTGTTTCTGCCAACAGGCCAGGTTCAATATCGGATCCACGCAGTGGTAAAATTGTGATGATGGACCACAATAAGCTCCGATAGTGTCAAAGGAAATGGGCAGGACACAGAATCAATCTGCAAATCCTGACATCAGCTGCATAGACTTGGAACTCGACCAACTGAACTGTAAAAGAATTGGTTCCGCAGAACTTCGCGTTCGTTCAAAGTATCTCATCCGATTGTTTCCGAAGCCCCGAGTACATGTAAACCTGGGAGTCGAATGACCCTGTCAGACGCATTGTCGTAATAATCACAATGTTTATCAGACCAGGGGACATTACGGCTATTTCCAACAAGACATTTCGCGTTGATCAGGCATCTGCGAAGATGCGCGGGCTGGCTAGCGAGAATGCCGTAAATTTCCGATTCCACATTAATGGCATGTTCATTCTAGACACGCTGCACAGAGGTGACAGAGATGAGGCGCGTACCGAAAACATGGTGAGGGCCACAACGGCTTGACAGAACTGCTGCAGCAAAACGCCCTTGATTACTGTGGCCATCGGTACTTGATTCTTCTGTTCCTCCTCCTTACGACTATGCATGCGATAGTGGTCCAGACTCGGCAGCATGTGATAAATCCCTCCATAAATCCAGTACATAGCAATGGGAGCGAAGGTACCCATCATCTCATCGGAAATCCCATAATCCTCCCAGAAAACCATCTTGCCCTTTCGAACTCCTCACCCCACACTTCCTGCGATGAATTGAATCACAGGACGGAAACTCCACCCGATACAACCACACAGCCACAACCACCACCACGTCACTGCAAACACAAACTCCGAATCAACAACATCAGCCGCCCGCCCGCTCGCCCACCTGCCTGCCTGAGCTCTGCTCCACTCGTCCAAATGCTCCTACAGCTGCTCCTACTCCTCTTCTTCATGTACGTGCGGCCATCACCATGCCCCACGACAGGCTCGCAATTAGCCCTCGACTATTTCCACCTCCCGCTCGCTCTCTCGCTCGCTCTCTCCCTCCTCCTATCACGGAAAGCAACACCCAGACCCGGCAAGAGCTTTCGAGCACTAATGATTACAACCGAAACTCAGGACGCGACGCCTGCACTCCACCACCAGATTCCACGAATCTACCATCAAACCCAAACCTCCTCCTCCTCCTCCTCCTCGTCAACTGCAACAACAACAACAATAACAACAACAACTAAAGCCCATACTCGACAAACCACGAGAGATCGCGCTTCCTCTCCCTCTGTCTCCACTCTAAGGCCTCGCCTCGCCTCGCCTCTCCTCCTCCTCCTCCTCTGCTCTTCTCTGCTCTGCTCTGCTCTGTCTCGCAAGAAACAACTTCCTCGCTCTGGGCCCTCGACAAATCTACCAATTGCTCATCCAGCGCGATGTGCCGCTAACGCGCGCCCGCCCGCTCTCCACGTGATCAGAGACGAGCGAACGCTGCTGCTGCTGCAAGAAGCCACTTCATCAGGGTTAGCATTTTCCCCACCATATTCCCTCCCCTCCCCTTCCCTTCCCTTCCCTTCCTTTCCTTTCCTTTCCTTGAAGGATCCTCCCTTCCTTACCTTCCGCTTTGCTTGACTTCAGAGAGACACAGAGAGCGAAGGAGACCGGGGGAGGGGGGGGTTTGTCTTTTCTGCGGCAGCCGGTGGTCCAGTTACAGCTCACCGCTCTCTCTCTCTCTCTCTCTTTCTCTTCCCTCGCCCACTCACTCACTACGCACCTTTTCCTTCCTCTGCGCTTGCCTTCCCTGGCCTTGCTTGTTGGCCTCGGCTTTGCCTTGCCTTGACTTGACTTGCCTTCTGCCTTCTGTTCAAGTCCAGGCGCGATCCTCCGGCTTGGAAGTAGTCTGCCGAACGCTCTCGCGACCGAGCTCGGCTCTCGCTGTCGCTTTTACTGACGTCGGCATGAACTGGTTTACCTCGCCGGACAGATTTACCCTCTTTTAACTTTTTAACCTTTGTTACTTTTTACACTCCCGGCTGTTGTTGTTGCTGATGCTGTACAGCAGCGCCTAGATTCATTCATGTCACCGAAGGAACTCCGTCGCTGTTGCTTGCACTGCGGGTTTCCGCGCTTCGGTACAGGACTTCGGTGAGCTGCCTTCGCCGCACGGACGGACGAACAGCCACCGGGTGGAATCCGGCGTTTAGACGGACGTCTTCTGCCGTCATGGACGCCCGAATGTCGAGAACGTATCCCCAGCTTATGTTTCTTCAACCCACGTAGGCAAGAAAATTATACCCGAAAGTAATATTACCACTTTATTTTAATTTATAATTATTTCGGCCAAATTTATTTTTCTACATTGAATCCCATCCGAGAGGAAAAAAAATCATGCTGGCATGTGTTCCGCTATCGTTTCATAGGGTTTTACAACAATCAGACAGGATCCGAATCCTCGAAGCGTAGTTATATCCGGGGCAAATGTCTGCTTATTGCATCTGTAAGCGGTCGGGCCCATAAAATCTGATCCTGTTGCACTCGGCGGAGGTCCAAATTTGGTCCAATGTAACCTGCAGATACAGGGAAAATAATCAATCCACGGTAGCGTTCGGTATACTCAATGCAAGTGATGTGCAAACGTCTTCTATCCCCTGCATCTCGTTCACGTCTGAATGTTAAAATAGACCCAGGACGACTCGTTCAAAGATCGAGCTGATGTGCGCGCGCAGCAACTCAAGAGTTTATATGTGTTCTGCAAATCTCGGGGGATGGGTTGCAGTTCTCTTAGGGCATTTGGTGCTCTCACAGGTGGAGGATTTTTTTCCACAAGTGCATATATTTTTAGCAAGTATCAGCCCTTTGAAGATGAATAAGGAAAAGTCCCCAATAAAAATGATTTAATATATATATAGAAAAAAAGGGGAAGAGATAATCGATACTTGCACATTGTTCGATTGATTATTGTTTGCACTTTTGGCCAAATGGGTCCCGAACAAAAAAATTTGAAAGGCCAACCATTTCCAACCCACTGTGCTCTTGATGCCTACGTATCTGATCAAGTTTAATGCAGAGTATACGCTCGTTACTTCCACATCAACCTCGAGCATGATGCTTATATAACAGAAGCAAGCACTATAGCCTCAGCTTTACTAAAACAGATAATATTGTGTTTTACCTCGTAATCAGATCTTTCCGATGATTTGGGAACATGAGACGCAGTAAACATACACACACTCATAAATTAAGGTACGGCACAAAGGGAAGGGAGGAGAAGAGGGTGATGGGCAGAATCATGTGTGCATTGTGCACACCGAAGATATGAGTGTTGCTCGTCTTCAATGCTAATATCAGATCAGCATGCGCAAGTTTTGCGCTAGACTATATATCTGGCTTTATCTCCCTTGCTTCAGTTTGAGGAACATTCTTAATGAATTACTGAGCTGAATGTATCTTGGCATGCTCAGTTCATGATACTTGTTTCAATCTTCGTGTCGAGAGTCATCATGGACTTCACAATACTTAGTTAATATGAATCAAGAGTAGAGCTCGGAAAATGAAGTAGAAATAATCCAGTGCTTCTTACAATGCATCATCAAAGAATAGCAATGAAAGAAGAATCTCTTGCAAGTACGACGCATCATCAAGGAAATAGCTTGGAGATAAATCCCAGAGAACGAGAAGCTTAGAACTTGGCTAGTCATACGTCATTATAAGATGTGAAATTAAGCCGAATCGTTTATTTGCAACTCTGCATGGAAGCCGAGTATCGAGCTACGCGATATTATTAGCAATGATTCACATCACGAGCTTGGTCTTTGTACAACATCCAGCTCTATCTCATCAGATCCCTCGGCTGGCTCCATTCCAACTGCTTTACCGGCCCTTGCTTTTCTTATCGTCATGCAAAACAAGAGCTCTGTGAGAGCAGGCAACTCTGCTTGTAAGTTGTGCTCGCATTGCAGAGTTTACCTTCCCGTGCTGTACCTAGCCATCACTTCATTGCAGGTAATGGAAAGGTTTTTGGATAGGCTTACTGAAGCATGAGTTACATCTCGATCTACTTTCTCGAGAAGACGAACCTGGCGGCAGACCTCAAATCCCTGCAGAACAATGTACCTGACACACAGAGTTGCAAGAGAGGAATTACACCTCTCGAAGACCCCAATATGGTTATTTTGAAAATCCTTCAAGTGATAAAGTCACGATTTTCGGTTTGATAAAGGTCAAAAAGGATTTATGCAATACTTCTTTCACCGTTCTGGAAGAAAAAGATAAATAAACCGAAAATTTGGTGAGAAGCTTGAATCCTTTTCTCCTGCACTCTCGGCGCTACTTTTCTCTCCTTTGCATATTCACTTGTGACTCTCTCTCTCGACTAAAGAATTACCTCCATTAAATCATAAGTGATTATATTTGATTGATCTGTCAGCACACTGAAAAACACACCACAGTCATATGGTTCACCGTCCTAGTGTTGGCGTAGTTATGACTAGTTATCTTTTCAGCGAGGCAAAGCAAAATGAAAAGACATGAAAAAAATATATAATATTATCTATGAATGAATGAATCAAATTGAATGAGCTTTTGTGAGCTACTTTAGATTAAGTTGAAGATGTTAGAAGTTAGCTTTATAATTTCTCTTAGATTAACCGTTTGCATGAAATCTAACTCTGATAAATTGCTGTACTAGAAAAATTTCAGTATTAGAATAGGTCATGGTAACAGGTCTTCAACATCGGGACAATTAGAAAAGATTGGTGGAGAAAATACAACATTAAAATTTTCTTCAAGTTGGATGGCACACAGTTTTTTGACAGAGGAACTCCAGCATCTGGTTACATGAAACGAATGCTGCGTAGTTGAGATCAAGAATTTCTATGCTCAAAAATTTAAGAAAGTTGAAGTTTTCATTATCACTAAGTCTAGTGTGTGAAGTAGTCATCATGTCTTTCATTCACACGTGTCACAGGAGAGGTGGTTCATGGAGTTAAAATCCATGAACCAGAATCTTAAAACCAATGCTGCGACCAGTTCTTAGGCTATGAAGTCTTCAGGTTTGCTAGAATAAAGTACATTGACTTGTGTTCCAACCATCATTTTTAAACATCATATTCTCCACCAAAAAGTGTAGCGAGGACTTTCCAGACCTTTCATGAATTTTACTCGGACACGTCACATTGCACACATGCACAAGTTCCTTCCCTTTCCAAGCATGGCCGTTTAATTCAAGACCTCTCGTTATAGATCAAGCTCCCAACAGTCAAACCAGCACTCCATGATAAATTATGACAGCCTTTTTAGAAAGATAAACCATCTTTACATAGAAGAACCAACTTTTTTCTAAGAGAAATCTATGACGTCTGATTTTATCAATAAATAAAAAATTAAGATATGCCGGGAAAGTTCAGCAAAACCTCGTCGCGCGCACAGCTTAAATGACTGACATTGTTGTAAATGTTTTACTCTAATATTATGAAGAAATTTCCGAATTTCATGCTGAATTGCAGTAACAAATAGTTTGAACGTGTTTGAAATACAAATGCCATTAGACAGTAATCCTGTGACAGTAAGGTCTTGGGAGACATAGAGAAGCATTTGTAAACTGAGTTTATTATTTATGGGATCTTGTTTTTTGGTTTTAGTTTTGGTGCACTTGTTTCTTTTGGATGATTTTGCCCTCACTTTTTATCCCATGGATCCCGATTTCCCTCGAGAAGAAGAACCTTGGAGAACTCGAGAATCCGGAGGACCACCACATGCGACTCGCGATGTTTATCCATGCAGGCCTATTTGTCCATGCTAGCCAATCAGCCGTAGGTACACACGTGGACAACTTTTGTGGAGCCTGCACCCGCTGACGACACCGGCGCGTGAGTTCCCGGGAGGCTTCCCGGCGTGCCAGAAGATTCGACCGAAGACTCGTCCGGCGACTTGAGCGGTCAGCACAGTGACGGGGGTTCATTCCTTTTTCGGCCGAAATGAATGAAGAAGCGCTTCTAGTATTCTACAGAAACATTGGTACTGTACAGCGACGTTTCTTTCTTCTCTGTCCGTCGAGGAATGACACCTGGGTGACGGAAATGGCTCCCTTCCGACAATAAGGACTTCGACTTTATGCTCAATCATTCTGATATGGTTACGACTTTTGAGATATCATCCAAAACTAGCGACCACTCAAACTTGACATTCTGATGGAATTCAGGTTCATTTTGCTGGCATTCATATTTCTATGATCAGCTCAACTGCACAAATTTATGCTTTTGCGATGGCTACAATATCCAGAAAAATATAACTTACTTCAAGATTTCTTCCACCTGACTTCAGGAACCAAGTTACTACACGATTCGGTTAAAATGAATTGTCAAGTAGATTAAAATTGTGAAGTATCTACAAGTTAACTATATCGAGATATATCATGAGAAGGAAGGAATGATTATCTTACTTCCCTCAGAGCCATCAGATGTGTCTTTCACGGCATTCTCTCAAGTTCCTTTGTTCAGACTGAAGCTAAATCCTTAGAAATACAACA